GGACTATTGAAATGTTAAGTAACGCCTTATACCCTAGAATTTGGAATTTCTCGTTATTGGTCTACTGCTGTTAAGATCCATCCAATCATTTTAATATACCATAGACAATTAATGGAGAGAATTCGGCATAAAAATGTCAAACCCTGACACTTTAACTATAAAATATACATGCTCCAAGTCAGGAACCGTTACATTAGTGCATTTCACAATTATTTTATGTTTTTTAGCAAAAAAAAGGTCAAAGAATTTTTCGCCTCGATCCGCTCGGCGAAAGATTTGATTCTACGCCCCCTCTTTCAAATATCCTAGAAACGCCCCTGACACTTGTTGCAAAGCATTATGTGAAAGTGTGTATATATAGCGAAGCGCGTAATGAGAGTATAAATGAAAAGGTAGCGTAAAATGAGAGAGTATATGGTTTTGAAGGATTAAGTGAAGTTATACATGCTTCAATCAAAGCGTTAAGTGAGAGTATATATATACGGGAAGTGTTTAGTTTGAAATAGAGAGGTCATATACATATAAAGTTGTTTCTCCATCAATTTGGCATTCGGTGAATAAGTTATCCCAACACTGGATGTAGTGCGCTCGGGTGAGATAAAATTGTTAGGCTTGGAGGTCAGTCAAGGGTACCGGAAACATTTATATTATATATGTCTTTTTGCTTGAGTAAATTCCATTTTTCTTCACCACATTATCACATATAATTAAATAATGGGATCAATGTGTCTTTGTGAATCGGTCATATTCAGTTATTAAATAATGTCAATCTTCACTTCAAGATAATTGTTGTGTCCATTTTATATTTTATTAACAATTTGAAGTCCTTTGAAATGTAATACAATTTTAATTAATACCCTAACAGAAAGCTTCAACATTGCTGCAGTTGTGACAGGTTGCACATTAGGAGTGTTCGTTCTGGTATTGGTCATCTTGTACGTTGCACTTGTCAAACGTCTCTCAAGAATTCAAAGCGCAACTAAGCCAGCTACAAAGTAGAAGGAAATATCTAGCGTAGCTACCATACCAGCCAACGAAGGTAGTAAGCTTCAATATTTATACAGTAAAAGTGGACATACTCGTGGCGTGGATATGCTTGCGTTTTCCGCTGAGTGAATGAGCTTGAAAATATACACACGCGAATATATATTCAAAGATATTTTTTAATTATAGATGTTTAAAAATATCTATTTCAGAATTATAATTGCTAAGTCTTACATCACAAGCAGTTTCCTGAGTCACAGCGCAAACATTTGAACACGCAAGAATTTCCACTTTTACAGTACTTTAAAATTATGTTTCTCCGAACATTTTAATATTTCATCATAAACTAAATTTGTTAAACTACAAGATGGCGACTTATTATTATAAATATTATTCTCAGAACGATTGGTAATGATGTTACCACGTATATGACGCGTAGGTCATATATCAATCAAACTATTAATAGAGAGAGGGTGACGTTGTTTTAATTTGAAATGTTAAGGAAACATGAAGGAGAAAATGTACGTTAAGAACCAAATGTAAACAAAACTTTCTTTCAAATCATTATTTAAACATTTTATTATTTTGACAATTACGTAACCACTAAAAAAAAAATATTTTCTTTAAAATATAACAGTTTTTTTTACTATATCTTAACATTAAATATTCAATCAAAATCTCTTGCAAATTCCAGAATCTCCATACTATGAATAGGCGCATTACGGCTAATCCAGTTGATGAACGATACGAAACATTGGACAAAAAGAAGAGAGGACTAAATAAATACCAGACACTTGAACATTTGTGAGTATTCGACAGACGTATGCATGGTTTCTCGGATGCATACTTAAAGGCACACCAAATGTATACGGCAATTCAGTATTACCTAAATATGTCTCGTATCTAAGTTCTGTTTAGTTGCCAAATGTATTGTTTTTGATACCTAATGATATAAATAAAATATTATCTACACTGAAATATAACATAGCTTGAAGTGAAGAGGCTATATTTATTTGAGGCACAAGACGGGATACTTTGTAGACTTGAGCGAAATCGAGTATTTTTTCAAACTAGAAGAAGCCAGCAAAAAACCAATTACCTATAACTGAGCCAGATCTGGTTGTCCAAGTCTCGGTCCAACTTATGATTATGTTACAGAATCTTAGGTCTTAACTCCGATATCATATAATTTAGAGAAATATAATAAACGCTCTGAGATATCTTCATCAATTGAGACATATATAATAAATACTCCCAGATATCTTTATCAATTAACAGATATATAATAAACGCTTTCTATCAATTTAAGAAAGATCTTATTAAAAATGGAGATATCTTATATAATCCGTATTATGTGGGATTTTTTTTCTCTATTT